ATGTTAAAACAGGACAGACGAGCGGAGGGCTGCGTCTATAAGGGCAGACGAGCAGAGGGCTACGTCGATATTAGACGGACGGCGAGAGGGAGACGTCGAAATATGACGGGCGGGCAGAGGGCTGTGTGAAATAGGACACACGAGCGGAGGGCTGTGTAAAATAAGACGGACGAGCGGAGGGCGGCGTCCAAAAGGGTAGACGATCGGAGGGCTATGTTAAAACAGGACAGACGAGCGGAGGGCTGCGTCTAAAAGGGCAGACGAGCAGAGGGCTACGTCGATATTAGACGGACGGCGAGAGGGAGACGTCGAAATAAGACGGACGGGCAGAGGGCTGTGTGAAATAGGACACACGAGCGGAGGGCTGTGTAAAATAAGACGGACGAGCGGAGGGCTGCGTCCAAAAGGGTAGACGATCGGAGGGCTATGTTAAAACAGGACAGACGAGCGGAGGGCTGCGTCTAAAAGGGCAGACGAGCAGAGGGCTGCATCGAAATTAGACGGACGGTGAAAGGGATTCGTCGAAATAATACGGACGGGCAGAGGGCAGCGTCATGAAAGGCAGCCGAGCAGAGGGCTACGTCATAAAGGGTAGACGAGCTGGGGGCTGGGCGGAATATGGCAGACGAGCGGAAGTCAAGGCGAAATGACACGGACGAGCTGGGGGCTACGTCGAAATGTGACGGACGAGCTGGGGGCGGCTCGTAATAGAACTGACGAGCGGAGGGCTATGTAGGAAAGGGCAAACGAGCTGTGGGCTTGATGAAATAGGGCAGACGAGCGGAGGGCAGAGTAAAAGGAGACGGACGGGTGGGGGGCCGTGTGAAACAAGGCGAAGACGCGAAGGGCTGCGTCTAAAAGGGCAGACGAGCAGAGGGCTACGTCGATATTAGACGGACTGCGAGAGGGAGACGTCGAAATAAGACGGGCGGGCAGAGGGCTGTGTGAAATAGGACACACGAGCGGAGGGCTGTGTAAAATAAGACGGACGAGCGGAGGGCGGCGTCCAAAAGGGTAGACGATCGGAGGGCTATGTTAAAACAGGACAGACGAGCGGAGGGCTGCGTCTAAAAGGGCAGACGAGCAGAGGGCTACGTCGATATTAGACGGACGGCGAGAGGGAGACGTCGAAATATGACGGGCGGGCAGAGGGCTGTGTGAAATAGGACACACGAGCGGAGGGCTGTGTAAAATAAGACGGACGAGCGGAGGGCGGCGTCCAAAAGGGTAGACGAGCAGAGGGCTATGTTAAAACAGGACAGACGAGCGGAGGGCTGCGTCTAAAAGGGCAGACGAGCAGAGGGCTACGTCGATATTAGACGGACGGCGAGAGGGAGACGTCGAAATATGACGGGCGGGCAGAGGGCTGTGTGAAATAGGACACACGAGCGGAGGGCTGTGTAAAATAAGACGGACGAGCGGAGGGCGGCGTCCAAAAGGGTAGACGATCGGAGGGCTATGTTAAAACAGGACAGACGAGCGGAGGGCTGCGTCTAAAAGGGCAGACGAGCAGAGGGCTACGTCGATATTAGACGGACGGCGAGAGGGAGACGTCGAAATAAGACGGACGGGCAGAGGGCTGTGTGAAATAGGACACACGAGCGGAGGGCTGTGTAAAATAAGACGGACGAGCGGAGGGCTGCGTCCAAAAGGGTAGACGATCGGAGGGCTATGTTAAAACAGGACAGACGAGCGGAGGGCTGCGTCTAAAAGGGCAGACGAGCAGAGGGCTGCGTCGAAATTAGACGGACGGTGAAAGGGATTCGTCGAAATAATACGGACGGGCAGAGGGCAGCGTCATGAAAGGCAGCCGAGCAGAGGGCTACGTCATAAAGGGTAGACGAGCTGGGGGCTGGGCGGAATATGGCAGACGAGCGGAAGTCAAGGCGAAATGACACGGACGAGCTGGGGGCTACGTCGAAATGTGACGGACGAGCTGGGGGCGGCTCGTAATAGAACTGACGAGCGGAGGGCTATGTAGGAAAGGGCAAACGAGCTGTGGGCTTGATGAAATAGGGCAGACGAGCGGAGGGCAGAGTAAAAGGAGACGGACGGGTGGGGGGCCGTGTGAAACAAGGCGAAGACGCGAAGGGCTGCGTCTAAAAGGGCAGACGAGCAGAGGGCTACGTCGATATTAGACGGACTGCGAGAGGGAGACGTCGAAATAAGACGGGCGGGCAGAGGGCTGTGTGAAATAGGACACACGAGCGGAGGGCTGTGTAAAATAAGACGGACGAGCGGAGGGCGGCGTCCAAAAGGGTAGACGATCGGAGGGCTATGTTAAAACAGGACAGACGAGCGGAGGGCTGCGTCTAAAAGGGCAGACGAGCAGAGGGCTACGTCGATATTAGACGGACGGCGAGAGGGAGACGTCGAAATATGACGGGCGGGCAGAGGGCTGTGTGAAATAGGACACACGAGCGGAGGGCTGTGTAAAATAAGACGGACGAGCGGAGGGCGGCGTCCAAAAGGGTAGACGAGCAGAGGGCTATGTTAAAACAGGACAGACGAGCGGAGGGCTGCGTCTAAAAGGGCAGACGAGCAGAGGGCTACGTCGATATTAGACGGACGGCGAGAGGGAGACGTCGAAATATGACGGGCGGGCAGAGGGCTGTGTGAAATAGGACACACGAGCGGAGGGCTGTGTAAAATAAGACGGACGAGCGGAGGGCGGCGTCCAAAAGGGTAGACGATCGGAGGGCTATGTTAAAACAGGACAGACGAGCGGAGGGCTGCGTCTAAAAGGGCAGACGAGCAGAGGGCTACGTCGATATTAGACGGACGGCGAGAGGGAGACGTCGAAATAAGACGGACGGGCAGAGGGCTGTGTGAAATAGGACACACGAGCGGAGGGCTGTGTAAAATAAGACGGACGAGCGGAGGGCTGCGTCCAAAAGGGTAGACGATCGGAGGGCTATGTTAAAACAGGACAGACGAGCGGAGGGCTGCGTCTAAAAGGGCAGACGAGCAGAGGGCTGCGTCGAAATTAGACGGACGGTGAAAGGGATTCGTCGAAATAATACGGACAGGCAGAGGGCAGCGTCATGAAAGGCAGCCGAGCAGAGGGCTACGTCATAAAGGGTAGACGAGCTGGGGGCTGGGCGGAATATGGCAGACGAGCGGAAGTCAAGGCGAAATGACACGGACGAGCTGGGGGCTACGTCGAAATGTGACGGACGAGCTGGGGGCGGCTCGTAATAGAACTGACGAGCGGAGGGCTATGTAGGAAAGGGCAAACGAGCTGTGGGCTTGATGAAATAGGGCAGACGAGCGGAGGGCAGAGTAAAAGGAGACGGACGGGTGGGGGGCCGTGTGAAACAAGGCGAAGACGCGAAGGGCTGCGTCTAAAAGGGCAGACGAGCAGAGGGCTACGTCGATATTAGACGGACTGCGAGAGGGAGACGTCGAAATAAGACGGGCGGGCAGAGGGTTGTGTGAAATAGGACACACGAGCGGAGGGCTGTGTAAAATAAGACGGACGAGCGGAGGGCGGCGTCCAAAAGGGTAGACGATCGGAGGGCTATGTTAAAACAGGACAGACGAGCGGAGGGCTGCGTCTAAAAGGGCAGACGAGCAGAGGGCTACGTCGATATTAGACGGACGGCGAGAGGGAGACGTCGAAATATGACGGGCGGGCAGAGGGCTGTGTGAAATAGGACACACGAGCGGAGGGCTGTGTAAAATAAGACGGACGAGCGGAGGGCGGCGTCCAAAAGGGTAGACGATCGGAGGGCTATGTTAAAACAGGACAGACGAGCGGAGGGCTGCGTCTAAAAGGGCAGACGAGCAGAGGGCTACGTCGATATTAGACGGACGGCGAGAGGGAGACGTCGAAATAAGACGGACGGGCAGAGGGCTGTGTGAAATAGGACACACGAGCGGAGGGCTGTGTAAAATAAGACGGACGAGGGAGGGCTGCGTCCAAAAGTGTAGACGATCGGAGGGCTATGTTAAAACAGGACAGACGAGCGGAGGGCTGCGTTTAATAGGGCAGACGAGCAGAGGGCTGCGTCGAAATTAGACGGACGGTGAAAGGCAGACATCGGAATACGACGAACGGGCAGAGGGCAACGTCATGAAACTTAGACGAGCAGAGGGCTACGTCATAAAGGGTAGACGAGCTGGGGGCTGGGCGGAATAGGGCGGACGAGCGGACGAGGCCATTCTGACTTGGAGAAAGAGTTAGTCGAAGCAGAGTCTCAAAAAATAGGGCTGAGCGAGCTTAGTTTAAGAAGATGGGAAGGTAGAGCAACGACTCGTAAGAAAAAACGGTCCACCTCAGGGCGGTCTTAGAAGTGTGTCAGATATATAGAGATTTGTGTGAAGGGCAGATGTGCTCAGTGCTGCTTGATAGAAGAGTCAGAGTCAAACATGGACTTTGGTAGAAAGGCAAAGGAGCATAGTGTGGCCTGGTTTAGCCGTAGAAGACGTGAAGATAATATTGAAAAGACAAAAGCAACGGGCGGAATAGGTAATGTAACAGATCAAAGGTAAGCTGTGGTATAAGTGTTAATGATCAAGAGTTAGACGTAGTCTATGTTTTGGGAAATATGGGAAAGGAAGGACGAGAGCGGAAAAAAAGGTAGAATAACGATAACGGTCTCACCACCCTACGCTTATTTAACCTTTCGTCAGTTGACATTCTGTCACCTCACCCACAATTATTTGTCTTGATTCCAGTTTTAGAAGTTGAACGAGTAAATTATCACTCTTCTTTTTAATTATTTATCTAATTACCTCAATTCTAGAAAAAATTTTTCATAAGTCCACTTATCCATAACTATTTGTGATGAACTCAGTGGTGTATGAAAATTTAAATAATTGAGGCCCGTATTGAGAACAACCAAAACAGCTAAGGGAGATGATTGAAAAAACAGATTTATATAACAAATCATCTTTATTTACACAGACTATAACGTTTTATCGAATTATTCGAATTTTGTCTACTAGTTTTTAGTAAAACCTTAGTAGAAAAGAAAAAATATAAAAAACATGTCAATTCATATCTCCCAATCCGGATCGTTTCCAACGTCGTCATCATCTTCATCCATACTATCATCAGCCTCACCGTCTTCGCTGCCATCATTTTCACCATCGTTGTTCATATCATCATCATCACCATCTTCTCCATTTTCATCATTGCCATCAACATCAACATCATCACCATTCTCGTCCTCCTCCTCAACAACATCATCATCACCATTACCGCCATCATCACCATTACCACCATCATCACCATTACCACCATCATCACCATTACCACCATCATCACCATTACCACCATCATCACCATCCAAGCATTGTTCGAAGTGCCCCCCCTGTTGCTGAATACACAAAATAGCTCTACGTCGTATCTGATGTGTAGCTGCATGTATTTTTTCGGGTTCTAGATGCTGGGCGTGATGTTGAATTCTTCGTATCATTTCATTTGGATCATTGGGGCCGCCATTGTGGTAAACTGCTTCTTTGGATGTCCCCCAGTAAAAGTAGTCCAATGGGTTTAAATCAGGAGATCTTGCTGGCCAGCGTACTGGACCATTATTGCCTATCCAATGGCCGCCATATACCTTGAAGAATTAAAATATTTTATAAGTGATTTTAATATACCTGCGTAAAATTTGTTATGAAACCAATAATTTTTCTAGCCGACAGTGTAACGTGCGAGTTTCATGTGCGAGTGAAATTCGCGCGCTTCCCGCTTCGAGTGAGGGCGACTCTGGCTCTGAAGTGAGAGGGGGATTCCGCGATGATGGGTTCTCGCGGCTGTTTTCCGGGCCCGGGTGTGGCCGAGCGAGGGAGGACAGAAGGAACAGAGACTGGAAAGAGGATACTGGAGGTGAGCGAGCGGGTCAAGATTGGGAGTTCCCGTGTTGCCCTCCCGATAGTGTGAGCAGTGGAAAGAGTCTGGAACGATCGTGGGGCTTGCCATCACGTCGTTTAGAGACCGTCGCCGCGGAGCGCTTGAAGCCGGCATCGTCAGCTGATACCCAGTGAGAGCGACGATCGGCACCGAAGGCAAGTTGTTGGTGCATATTATCAACGTCCGAGAGTTTTTGTTACTTCCGCGTCTCAGCGACAAGGCGATCTGCGCGCGTGCGACAACCGATAGAATAGTGTCCGGGAGCTGTATGAAGAATAATTGTAATAAAATTTAAACCTGAACGTAGACCAAGATTTTGCATTGAATTCTCCTAGCCTGAACGGGACTACCGTTTAACGTATTCATGAGCCGGGCATATCAAGATCGCTTGATCTTGAAAATAATAATGTAAAAGTTGAAAATTTTACAACAGTTGTACATGCAGGTGCAAGTACAGACATATACATATTTGGTTTCTAGCGCTGTACTGTGAATGCACTCTCACATGCTCCCCGAAGTATACTAATAAAGCCGTGTTGGTTTTAAAACTTCTGTAGACTGAAGTAGTACGAGTAATCAAAATACTGGCAGCATACGAAGAGATTAAAAAATTTTATATTTAAAGTAGAGTTGAAATAAAAGGGAAAGAGGAGGAGAGCGGATTTTAATTGAGATTTGAGAATCTTTGAGCGACGGAAATAAAACTCGTCAAGTATGATACAAAGTAGAAAATTTTCATAAGGCTATCTGTGCTAGAACGACTTTTATATTTGTTATAAAGAATAATATAAAAGTAATTAAATTTCCTTTCAAGTCAGAGCAATATTCCCTTCAGCAAATAATTGGCATAAAGCCACGACAAAATTATCCTACATGAAATTTCAGAGCGTTAAGACTTTCATTAGGAGAAATTGCGTAATACAATTTTTGGTAAGGAAGGGTAAAGCAGGCAGAATAAGTGAATAAGCAGTTGTAGAAAAGAAATTCTTTATTCGAGAGAAAGCCTTTGGCGTCCGCGTCACGGAAGAGACTAGAACGAATTGAGCGGCAACGCCGCTAGCCGCCAAGAGAGAGCGAGACGTGTAGTCACGCACATGCGTAGAGCAAAATAGGTGAGATGCTTTTACATATTTCCAACAACAATGTGTGACGGTGTAGGCTGGTCATGGCCTGCACCGTATGCTTGCTTCCCCCTCCATCCTAGGCAAAGGCGCACGGCTGGCATCGGACGCACGTTATTTTACGTGTATGATGCCTGCCTTTATTCTTTCTAGTATTGCAGCTAGAAGAGAGAGGGAGAAAAGGCAAGCAGCGAGCAAGCGAAAGGGAAGATATGTCAAGAGTAAGAGAGAGAGAGAGAAAGAAATTATATGTAGTTTGGTGAGGCTCGGCGCGCGGCCGTGTGCCGCGTGCCGTCGATTAGGAGGACAGTGGTGGGGAAGGCGTGAGAAGCTGACTCGCACGCACTCGTTACTAGATCGGCGCACGCGAGAGAGATCGGCCGCACTGGGTGGAATTGTCATCTTCTTTGCCTCGAACCCGAGAAAGAGTGTGAGAGCCGTGACAACGAGAACTGGGCTACGTCTCGCGCTAGCCACCTCACCTGCAGCCCACCTGCCAAGCAGCCATCACCCTTTTGGTCAGGTTTAGTTTTCTCTCCTCTCTTTTCTCTCTCTATTTCCCTCGGCATTGTCTCGCGGTTTGTGTGCGGCGCCAGGCTCTCACGAGCCGGCGCAACGTATCTTCGTCACTTAATTTAGTTTGAGTCGGTTAATGAGGTGACATGGCGCTAACGTGCCGGTCATCTTATTTAGTGTAAGTTTTGCGTATTATTAATGATAAGTAGTTTTGTATTCTCGTCGGCACTCGAGGTAGTGCGTTTGTAATAAACGGTCGATTAACGAAGTCGAGTGTGTGAAATTATTAAGTCTACACCTTCTCTTTCCTGCTTTGCTAGGAGCAATACACCGCCTCCCTTACCCTCCCCTTAAATAATTCGGTAATAGTAGCGAAATTGTTGGCATTGAAGGCCCATGCTATTACAAATGTATACTATAATAATTACCTGATCAAGATAATTCCTAACATTCACAGCAGTATGTGCTGGTGCACCGTCATGCATGAAAATAAGATTTTCTTGCAATTCTTCTGGCACACCATCAAGCAATCCTGGAAGTATATCCTGCAGGAACTCAAGGTAATTTACAGCGTTTAGTGGGTTTGGAAGTTGTACCGGACCAATAATTTGATTACCAATCAAGCCTGTCCACATATTGACTGAAAACCGATTTTGAAATCGATCTGGAAATAATGAACAAAATTTATAAATTTTCCAGTTTATAGCACATTTTGATAGATGTTTGGCGACGCAAGACGTCTCCTATCCACGTATATGTCGTATTGTGTTTTTTGAGACAACGTGAGCGAAGCGAGTCATACCGTACAAAGAATTGCAGTTTGATAATTTAACCATATTATTTACAAAAAATAATATTTATGTTAATATTTTGATCTTTTATGATTGCATTTGTTCTGTTTCATTTTTTCTCTTCTACGTGCCCACAATCTTAAGGCTATTAAAGGAAAATTGGACTGAAAAATACGTGAGGAATTGTATACATTCGTACTACGAAATAAAGTATCAGTGCATGATAATTTTTAAAAACGGCGAATGAACATCTCGCTTCACAAAAAATTATTGCTCTTAAATAGTCTTTCGCACTTATAGATGCATATACGAACTACATTTTCTTCGTGATTTAGATTAATACTCATAATAATGTATGAACTGTGAATCAGTTTTGACTTTATCGTCCCATTGTTTAAATGTGTGTGGCGGACGTGCTTTATCTATTGATCTACTTGGTTAAAACTTTCAGTTTTTCCTCAGCATCAATAAAATAATTTAGTTCAGCTGTCGCGCGGCTGCCGCTTAACTGCCGCGCCGAATTTCGATTTTTATGGCGCGCCCGCAATAAATGAAAATTGCTTTGCGCTCTCGCTAATCCCTTATTGTTAGCGACAAAACACGTCTCATCACCCTGCTTTCCCGTTGGTCCTCAGCTACCCTTTTCACGGACTTCGTGGGTGGGACTTACCTTCCCCCGATGCCCAAGGGAAGCGTCTTCGCTGAGGTATGACGAGTGAATCGTCACTCACGCTAGAACTTCCGACACGCTTACATCTCTACTCTCTGCGAGATGCGCGGTCTTTGCGTAGACTAAGTCTCTACTATTAAGTATTTGTAGTAGTTAGTCTAATTTTAATAAAACATCAAGTTTTCCTTTACACTTAAATCATCGCTATATTTATTTAATATATTCACCCACCAAACGGACCTCCATGTGGATAAACTGAAAAAGCAATGCGAACGAACTAAATAACGTTTTCATTAATAATTGTTTATAGACCTATAAATACAAATTTTATTTCGATAGGAAAAAATTTTTTTGCCAATCGCTAGAGATCGTAGACTGTTTTTTTTATAAATCATAACTAACGCACCCAATGACAAATTCACGGCCGGATCCCGGTACGGAGACCTCGTATTCCAAAATAAACTGCTGATCCGATTAAAATTTCCCTATGTGTGTGCGTGTATTATTGGAAGAAAGTTTATTTTCCTACTATCGTGCGCAAAGTTCGATTTTGCGCACGCGTGGGCGTGCGCAAAGGGCCTCATTCCCGCACGCTGGCCGAGCGTGCGGGAATGACAGCCGCGCATGCGCGGCGCGCGGCGCTGTCATTTTTGAAAAGGGCCTCTGTTGTTTGTCAAAATATTTACGCTGCGCTGCCTGATCAGTGTTTTGAAAACCATCGTGAAAACCATTGTGAAAACGTGTTTTGCTATTGCTTTGCATTTATTTTGCTAAGTAGCTATTTTCTAAGTGAAAAGTGTAGTCATGGATTCCAGACACAGTGATTCCGACAACGACAGTGATTTTGTGCCGCCTGAATTGATTGCAGCTACCAAAGAAATTAACTTGCGATCATTGCCAGATGCTTCCAAACACAAATATACAGTAGTATATAATGAATTCAAAAAATGAAGAAGCACAAAAAATACAAGATCATTTGCTGAATCAATATTATTAGTGTACTTCAATGAATTATCATTGAAATATGTTTCGTCTACGCTGTGGTCTAAATATTCAATGTTGAAGACTACAATAAAGACTTTCGACAACATTGATATTAGCTTGTATGCACAGCTGATAGGTTTTTTGAAAAAACAAAGTGCTGGATATATTCCGAAGAAATCACGAGTTTTCACATCAGATGTTTCAAAGTTTCTCAATGAAGCACCAGATGTCCTATATTTAGTTATAAAGGTATGTATACGTAATTAAATAGTTTGTCAACGATAGTTGTTAATGAAAAAAAAAAAAAATTAATTTGAATTTAAATTATTTTACAGGCAGTACTCGTTGTAGGAATTGCCGGTGCTTGTCGAAGAGATGAATTGACAAATGTTTGTATGGCAGACGTGGAAGATCATGGTACGTTTTTCCATGTGACATTGCCAAAAACAAAAACCAAGATTGTAAGATCATTCACAGTAGTGGGTGAATTTTATGAAATTCTCAAGAAATACTATCTTGAAAGAGAAGCTATAGGTATCGCGAAGACAAACAGATTTTTCCTAACCTACAGAAATGGAAAATGCATCGACGAGCCTCTTGGTATAAACACAATTGGAAATATACCTTGTGAAATTGCCAAATACCTGCAATTAGAGGATCCCAAATTGTATACTGGTCATACATTTCGACGATTCTCTGCTACAATTCTAGTCGACGCTGGAGGAGACATAACCGTTTTGAAGAGACATGGCGGATGGAAATTTAATAGTGTCGCCGAGGGATATATCGAAAATTCAATCGCGAACAAAAAGGAAATTGCCAATCGCATTACGAGTGCAGTACCTTCTACGTCAATGGTAAATTTGAAACGTAAATCTTATGCACCTGTGCCTTCAACGTCATCTGTTTATAAACGCCAAAAATTCGAAGAAACAGAAAAAGAGACCAGGTACAGCTTCGATAATACGCAGTATGCTAATCCGTCGCAAAATGCTCCCGTTTTGACTGACGACAGTGTGACAGTAATTCCAGAAACTCCATAAATCGAAGAAAACAACCAAAATATATTGAATGTCAATCAAAATATTCATGAAGATGCAAGTCCTGAAATGACTTTTGGGAAACAGCAAAATGCAGTCAATGAAGAGGAGCCCATTGCAGTATCTAATAGAAATGTGATAATAAATGATTTAGATGTTTTGCGAAATATGCCATTTCAATTCAATAACTGCAATGTAACGATTAATATTAATATCAATAAAAAATAATGTAGTAGAAAAATTTGTGTAGTACTTCGTTTCTGTTCGCGTGCGGGGAAAACATTTGGGAAAAAAATTTGGGGAAAACATTCGGGGAAAACTTGGGGAAAGCTTGGGGAAACCCCATGTATACAAACATCTTCTTTATAAATAAGTATTAACGTAAGTATTTTGACTATGAATTTTTGACCGACCCTTTCTTCATTTTTAATTGTAGTTGTCGAACTTTGCGCAACTTAGTAGGAAAAATAGTATACGCAACTTGTGCGTAAAGCAAGTGATCGCGCACGTGCGGGAATCACCTACTTTGCGCACTCGTTGCATAATGTACTATTTTATTCTACTCGTAATAATATACATTTTTAGATATATCTTTTTAACATTTTCGGTTTTCTGAACGCAAAGATGCGACTTGGAGTACCATTGTTTTTTGAAGTATGCGAAGAGTCGCGTCTTCGTGCAGGGGGTATAGAAAAAGTGTTTGAAAAATGCTTAAAAAATGTTTATTATTAAGCGTATCCTAAAAATAAATTTTCTTTCAATAGAAGACGCACACGCATAGGAAAATTTTCATGGGAATGATTTTTTTTAGAATATGGGGTCTTTAACTATTCAAAACAATTACCTTCCCGAGCCACATGCGGATTTTCATGAGCCCACTGATGTTCATTGTGCTGATTAAATATTCCCTTCCGTACGTATGTTGATTCGTCAGTCCAGAGAATTCGATCCATAAAGCCTGGATCAGCATCTATTTCATTCAGCAAGAATTGACAGAACGCAATACGGTTCTGGGCATCTCTTTCATCTGTTTTGAGAATGTATAAGTAATATTCAAAATAACCATCTATGCTACATAGAAAAATTGAGAGATTCTATGAATGCGAATTAACGAAATTTCTTGATTAGAATTTTACATAAGAGTTTAGCTTGAAAGCTAAAAAATGTGTACTTTTTAAAGTAAAGTAGCCGAGGTATTTTATTTGAATATACGTCTTTTGATACCCCAAATTTCTAAAAAAATTCATAAACTTCTAATAGACATGGATCATTTTGAAGAAAGAAAAATCAAGTAGGCAATCCAAGTTTAACAAACAGATTCCTATAAAATCCAATGCATTCATCAATTAAGTTTTTTGTAAATTAAACTTGAGTAAAACAGTTTTTAGACTATGTAGGTTATTTTAAACTAACTACTACTTCAAAACTTGAATAAACTTTCTATGAAACAATTAAAAATGGATTTTTTTCAAATTTTTTTCGGCCGAATTGTTTTAAATTTATTAAGATACAGACCAAAACTAAATAAGTTATCAAACAAACTATTCTATTTATAACTTAATCGAAAGAAGTAACCCTACTTTTTTTTGTCATTTATTTCTTATAAAAATCATTCTAACTCATGGTCATCAAAGATTACTAGAAAAACAAAACGACGAAGTTACTCCTATCGGTTTGAAAATGATGGTCAGGTGATCTCCGTGAAAAATGAATGGTAATAAAATGCAATGAAGCTTGAGATCTTTCGTGTCGATCAATTTGCCAACAATCTATTGGGATAATTGACAAATTTATGACAGTAAAGGAAAAGAAAAAAACACGGATTTCTGAGCTGATTTCGAGACTATAACTACTTTGCCTATTTGCCATTTGGTCAAAAAAGCTTAAACTACTGCAAAAAACTCATCTCATAGTTTAAGGTTTGATTCGAGAAATTGCAGGAAAATTTTCCAAGAAATTTCGATTCGTTTATTTCTAAATTAAGTGAACTTGGAAAAAAATGAAAATGGACAACCTGAAAAAACGATTTTGAAAGCTTCTCACGAATTCCAGTTCAACTACAATCTTAAATGATCGTTCTATTTCGGTGTAGAACAATTACATCTATCGAATAAAAAAAAATCGACCCGAAAACTGCAGAAATAAAAAAG